GATCTGTTTCCTTTTAGATGTAACTACTCTCCTTTATTTCCTCCAGCAACTGCTCTATTTTCAGGATTTTTCTCTCACAATCGTTCTTTTTCTCATCCAGTGCCCATTGAGCATGTAGAAGGTTTTGTTTTTGTGTTAATAATGCCTCTGGTTTTTCAGATGTGTCTTTTTGTGTTAGTTTCATCTCCACTAAGTGAAGCTGCTCTTTGTTTTTCCGGAGTTGCTCCTTCACGTCATCAAGTTCATCCTCTAATTGTTTTTCCTGGTTCTCCAGTTCCTTTTTCAGTTTCTTCATTGCATCAGCAGCACCAGCAGCATCACCCTTCTCAGTGTCAGATCTAAAACCTGTGAAAACCAGACATGTCAGTGAGTTATGCATTTATGCAATATTCCCTAGTAAATAATATTGCAGTACTGTAGAGCTTCTCTGATAGCATTTTATTCCACAATGAAACCACTTAAAAAGATTTTGGAGTATTTAATAAGCCCACTACATTTACTTAAAATTTATGGTCATCAATATACTTGTTTTAAATTGAAATAAGTAGTTTTAACGATAAGTGAGCTGAGACTTACGTCTATATAGCCACATGGCATTGCCACCACCCAAAATCAGTCCAGCAGCGCCAAATGCCAGAGCCATAGTAATGCAGGGGTTTAAAGTGTTACCGGATTTGCACTTTTTTACTGGCAAAAAGAGAGAATCAAATACTGAAGCAAGATAACGTAAAAGCACAAGACAAATAACATCATCTTACAGGGTAACTTGCATTAACTAAATCATGTATAGAGAACAGAATTATTAATATTTAATAATTGTCATTCTGTTATTATTATTATTATTTTCATTATTATTATTATTGTTTATTATTGTTATTATTATTATTAATAATAATAATAACAATCTCACTACTATGAATTGAATAAAAAAATAAATAAAAGTTAAGACATCTAGCAGAGAAATTAACAGAAATAAACAATGATTTGGCTGTTTGAGGTTTTATAGGATTATATATGTGTGTGTGTATATATATATTACATATGCATTACCAGTCAAAAATGTGGACACCTTCTTATTCGGCATTTGTTCTTTATTTTTACTACTTTCTAGATTGTAGATACATACTGAAGACATCAAATATATGAGCCATGATATATTCACTTATGTAGCAAAGAAAAATTGATAACCAACTTCAAATATGTTTTATACTTTAGATTCCTTAAAGTAGGTTCTGTGGTCTCAGTAGGCTGAGACCACAGGACTGTAAAACATGATTGTTGGGCTTCATTTCTGTGCTGAACAGTCATTTAAGATTAGTTAGTAAATAACAATTAGCTAATGTTTTTCATGAGACTAAAATCATCTCACTGTGGTAATGTAAATATAATATGGCCAATATTATATGTATTGTTAGATTATTATGATACATATATATATATATATATATATATATATATATATATATATATATATATTACAGCAGTGAACTTGAACTCTGTGTCAAAGATTCAAGTTGCAGTTATTTATATTTCCTATCACCTTAAATCTTCACTCAAAGACAAGTATCTTTGACAGTGTATATACAGATGATGTCTCTTATATATAATATTGTATCACAGATGATGTGCAGCAGTGGGTCCCTCAGTCTGTCCTCACTCTGGACACTTGCACTTGTCCAACATGGAAATCAAATGTGTGATAAGCTGCAGGATTCAAACACAAGTGTAACTTATAAATACATGTTCATACTTTTATTACACAATCAGAGAGAAAGAAACACAGAGAGAGTGCAGGACAGACAGACAGGTGACAGTCTCAGGTGTATACACTGCTACAAACAGGAGGATTTAGTGTTTGTGTTATTACGAGGGCTAAACAAGAAGAGCTCCCAGATGGTGCAGTGGACACATGTGTGGCTCCTGTGATTAAAGCATCTTTCTTTCAGCTTAACGAGTGAACCGTCAGCTCGTTCAAACACATGTTCAAGTCCGTTTGGCTCGACACAGAACAGCAATACAACATAGCTAACATTAACAGTGCAGTGAATCCTGCTTGTGCTGTGATATTCAGGACTGCAAACCGAGCAGCATCACTGACTTTCAGCTTGTTGTGTTTGTGGATATATGACTGACTTTAATTATCCATAAAATCATCACATTCTCTGTAAGATTAAGGTCAACTAGTGTATATATATATATATATATATATATATATATATATATATATATATATAATATATATATATATATAAAACACCCAGCACGCCCCTGCGGGCGGTTTATCCTTCAAGCTCGGGTCCTCTACCAGAGGCCTGGGAGCTTGAGGGTCCTGCGCAGTATCTTAGCTGTTCCCAGGACTGCGCTCTTCTGGACAGAGATCTCCGATGTTGTTCCCGGGATCTGCTGGAGCCACTCGCCTAGCTTGGGAGTCACCGCACCTAGTGCTCCGATTACCACGGGGACCACCGTTACCTTCACCCTCCACATCCTCTCGAGCTCTTCTCTGAGCCCTTGGTATTTCTCCAGCTTCTCGTGTTCCTTCTTCCTGATATTGCTGTCATTCGGAACCGCTACATCGATCACTACGGCCGTCTTCTTCTGTTTGTCTACCACCACTATGTCCGGTTGGTTAGCCACCACCATTTTGTCCGTCTGTATCTGGAAGTCCCACAGGATCTTAGCTCGGTCATTCTCCACCACCCTTGGGGGCGTCTCCCATTTTGACCTCGGGACTTCCAGGTTGTACTCAGCACAGATGTTCCTGTACACTATGCCGGCCACTTGGTTATGGCGTTCCATGTATGCCTTGCCTGCTAGCATCTTGCACCCTGCTGTTATGTGCTGGATTGTCTCTGGGGCATCTTTATACAGCCTGCACCTGGGGTCTTGCCTGGTGTGGTAGACCCCAGCCTCTATGGATCTTGTGCTCAGAGCTTGTTCTTGTGCTGCCATGATTAGTGCCTCTGTGCTGTCTTTCAGTCCAGCTTTGTCCAGCCACTGGTAGGATTTCTGGATATCAGCCACCTCCTCTATCTGCCGGTGGTACATACCGTGCAGGGGCCTGTCCTTCCATGATGGTTCCTCGTCTCCCTCCTCTTTCTTGGGTTTCTGCTGCCTGAGGTATTCACTGAGCACTCGGTCAGTTGGGGCCATCTTCCCAATGTATTCTTGGATGTTCCTTGTCTCATCCTGGACTGTGGTGCTGACACTCACCAGTCCCCGGCCCCCTTCCTTCCGCTTAGCGTACAGTCTCAAGGTGCTGGACTTGGGGTGAAACCCTCCATGCATGGTAAGGAGCTTTCTTGCCCCAGCTTTGGGGCATTGAGTCATAGGCCTTCTTGTAATCAATCCAGGCAGTGCACAGGTTGGTCAGTCTGGTCTTGCAGTCTCGGCTGATTGTTCTGTCTACCAGTAGCTGGTGTTTTGCGCCTCTGGTATTCTTGCCAATTCCTTTCTGTGTCCCGCTCATGTATTGACCCATGTGCCTGTTCATCTTAGCCGATATGATGCCTGACAGGAGCTTCCATGTAGTACTGAGGCAGGTTATTGGTCGGTAGTTGGAGGGGACCGGTCCCTTCTTGGGGTCCTTGGGGATCAGGACCGTCCGGCCTTCAGTTAGCCATTCCGGGTGTCTCTCGTTAACTAGCAGCTGGTTCATTTGTGCTGCCAGACGCTCGTGGAGTGCAGTCAGCTTCTTCAGCCAGTAGGCGTGAACCATGTCGGGCCCTGGTGCTGTCCAACTCTTCATACTGGAGACCCTTTCTTGGATATCTGCCACTGTGATGGCTACTGGACCCTGTTCAGGGAGGTCGCTGTGGTCTGCCCTCAGATCCTCTAGCCACTGAGCATTGCCGTTATGGGTTGCATCCTTCTCCCATATGCTCTTCCAGTATTGCTCCGTCTCCAGCCTTGGTGGTGCTGTTCTCTTATTGTTCCCTTGCCACTGAGAGTACACCTTTGCTGGTTCTGTGGAGAACAGCTGGTTTATTCTCCTGCCTTCTATCTCTCTGGTGTACCTCCTCAAGCGGCTGGCCAAGGCTGTGAGTCTTTGCTTGGCAGTTTCCAAGGCCTCAGGTATGGACAGCTTGCTGTATTTCTTAGGCACCTTCTTTGTCGCACCTTTCTGCAACTCCGTTAGTTGGCTAACCTCCCTCCGTGCTACTTTGATCTTGCCCTCTAGCCTCCTTCTCCATGGAGGGTACTGCCCCTTGTGGCTGTTCAACTTGTAGCCAAGCATCTCACTGATCACTGCTGCCGTATTGTAGATCAGCTTGTTAGTGTCGGTAATCGTGGTTGTAGGTATTGCCCGTAGTGCTGCATATATATATATATATATATATATATATATATATATATATATATATATATATATATATATTTAGAAGAAAAGGCTTTAAAACCAAGTTAACGCTGAAAGTACAAACATCACTAATGTCACATAACTTTGCCGACATTCATGTTTTAATGTTCTTCATTATTAAACATTTGCACATAAATAAGTGATATAATATTCAGTACTTACTTTTGACAGTTCACTCTTCGGCCGCTCCCTTCTGCCTTATGTTGCGGCAAAATTATCCACACCCACCGCCGTGCTTTGGGTGTCTTGAAAAGCGCTATATAAATTCAATCCAATCGTTGTCGCGTGGCGGTGACGTAATTGCACTCAAAATGCGTACTTCAAGCGTGCAGTCTCTTAATTGGGACACAGCCGTTGAGGAGGTAATTTAGCCATTTAAATCAGCTGTGATGGATCAAGGACACATATAAAACCTACAGGACACCGGCCCTCGAGGCCTGGAGTTGGCAACCCCTGATTTACATAATGCAGCTTTAATGTGACTCTGGTTGTGTTTTCATTATTGTGTCTTAAACATGAACATTTCTTCCTTCTGCGCTTTCTTCATGTAACATTTCACCTGCAGTCAGAGAAGAAGAATACTGAAATCATCAATCAGCTCCAGCAGGAGAAAAAAGCAGCAGAGGACCGGAAGAAGCAGCTGGAGGAGAAAAATCGTGAGGTTTGTGTTTCCATTATAAACATTCAGAATTTACTGACCCAACTCTCTTTATCTCTGTATTGTAAACAGTTATGAAGGAAACTTTACATATTATTTTGTTTGTTTGATTAATTAAGAACTAATAATGAAATGCAAATAAATGTGTTTCTTTGGGATCATCCTTTTGTAATTTATGTCATAGCAGGCTCTTAATTCTATATAGAACCTAATTTATTAACTTTTTGAGTGAATGTGTGATTGTATTGTGCAATCCCCCACGTTTTGCCTTCCATTGTTGCAGTTTCTGTATCATTAACTACACAAGCACTTATAAATCCACCTCTATACACATTTTTCAGACCATCCCACAACACTTAATGTTGTTAACATCAGGCTACATCAACTCCCTGATATTTAAAATAAAATAGCTTTTATTTTAATCTTTTTGCGTAAAGCGAATAGTATAGAATAGAATCACCACTTTATTTTCATTCAGAACATTTAGTGCACATCAAAATGAAAAGCATTTACTCATCACCAGACTTTAAATATAAATAAATCTATAAAAAGTCTAAAGGTTTAAAATATTTTAAAAAGGATAAACGTGTAAGAATATAGGAAAAGAAATATTATTAGGATTATGAAATACTTTTATTAGTAAGGAGAAGCTGTTCAGGATCTTTAAGTATATCGAACAGCAGTAACAGCAGCAGAAAAGTGTACAATCATCATTCAGCCATGAAATGACACTGCTGTAAATATAGAGTCATGGGGGACAGTGGGGAGGGGGGAGGCAGTCAGGGTGGGTGGTTGGTGTGCTGATGGTTGGAGACTGAAACTATTGTAACATCTGGCTGTCCTGGTCCTGATGCTGCTAAACCTCTTTCCAGAGGGCAGCAGGTAGCACAGTGCATGGTGGGGGTGGGCGGAGTCTCTGATGATGCTATGGACTCTGCTGAGACAGCATCTGTGCTCGACTTCCTGGATGGATGGAAGAGAAGTCCTGGAAGGAAGCAGGAAGCTCAGACACTGCTGAGACTGTTTAAACAGTGCTGATGTGTTTGGTGACCAGTCTCACTTCTTAGTTATCTGTACCCCTAGAAAGTTGACACTGCTGACTACCTCCACAGCTCTGTTGTCAGTGATTAGTGGTGAATGACTGGACTGTTTTGTCCTGAAGTTGATCATCAAGTTCTTGGTCTTCTTGTCATTCAGGATTGTTGACACTGCACCGGTCCTCTATAGGACAGATCTGTGTTGTCCATAATGTGACCCACCACTGTTGTGTCATTTGTGTTCCTTATCATGTGATTAGAGGAAGATGCAGCGCTGCAGTCATGTGTCATCAGCGTGAAAAGCATTGGGCTCAGTAAACAATGGAGAGACAGGAGGAGTTGAAGATGCTGTTTCCCACTCTCACAGAGTGAGTTCTGTCATTGAGGAAGACCAGCAGCCAGATACACATGTGGGTGCTGATACCTGTGGGAGGGGTCAGTTTTTTCACCACCTCCTGGGGGATGATCAACCAACAAACAGCATTCATACGTGACTGTTCTCGTGAAGCTCAGGTAACGAGCAGAGGACATCGCTCTGTGGAGCAGTTTGGCCAAAGACTGATGTGGAAGGGACTCTACAAGGACTTCATTATTAAGGGAGTTAATGCAAAGGGCAAAACGCATGATGGTGGATTTTTTGGGCGCTGGAGTTATGGTGACAGACTTGAAACATGTTGGAACAACATTCTGCTCCAGCGAGGTGTTAAAGATGTCTGTAAGGACGTGTGCTAGCTGCTCAGCACACTCTCTGAGTACTCGTCCTTGAATGTTGTCCTGCTGCCTTTCATACATTCACTCTCCTCAGAGTTTTACAGACATCAGTCACTCTGAGATTCAGTGTTTTCTCATCAGGGTGAAGACTGTCTTTTATTTCAGGGTGTTGTTGTTGGTTGAAAATGTACAGAGAACTTTGTTGACCTCATTGAGACAGTGTGTGTTGTTGTCACACATACTCTCTTCTTATAGGAAAACTCTTAATTTAAGACAAAGCTTACTGAATTTACTTATAATGAAATTCAAATACAGTTTTTTCTTTAGCTTCTCCATTCTTCTGTTCATATCATATCAAACTTGTGATTCCATATAGAAATTAATTTGTTGACTCTGTGTAATCACCCACATGCTATAACAAAAAACATAAAAAACTTACTTTTGTCTTCTCTGTCTTTGTTTCTCTTTAATTGCAGCTTTCTGGAAACACCAGTCAAGCCCAGAAAGAGAAACAGGAGATGGAGAGAGAGATGGAGAGACTGAGAAATGAGCTCTACTCCAGAAAACAACAGGTTCATTTTTTATACACTAACTTCCTGCATTTACATGACTGCCATGTTTAATCAGATCTCTTTCTCTGGTGATTGAAACACTCTGAAGAAAAATTCAGAAATTCTGATTTTATATAATTAATTGAAAATAAGCAGAGCTGTACTGATTATATTTTTTTAGGCTGATTTATCTGCTGTTTGAAGTGATGCTGTGATTAACTGTCATTTATTGACAACAATCTTTATTCTGTTGTATTCTCCGTGCTTGAAGGTGTTTATTTTCAATTATTTTCCAGACGGTTCCTCATAGATTTGAAACATAAATTCAGGAACTCGTCTACAAATGTTGTCGTAGTTGCTGTAGGACATAACTGAACAGCAAAATGACCGAAGAACGTGGCAACCTCGTTCTTTGTGTATTTTTTATTTAGGAATATGTTGATATCCAACTATTTGTCACTGAGCAGACGTGTTCCTTAAACATGATGATGTTGATCAAGGATCTGACCTCACAGCCCATTGTTCCTTCAGTGGTGCTCGTATTAATTATGCAAATGTACTGTTTATAAGACTTGGGGAAACCTGCAGTCAGCTGAGACTGAAGAGTTACTTGGATGAGTGACCAAAGGTTTCTCCCACTGAAAACTTACCTGGATGATTGAGCATGCGTAGGGACGATGAAACAAAGGCAAAAGACAAAAAATGCTTTTATGTTTTTACATTTAATTCTGACACTGATGCTTTATCGACCAACACAATACACTAAACACCCTTTAGTGACACTGACATCCAGCTGCACTCAAGTAAAAGCTTAAAAATCTCAATATTTTAATCTTTTCTTTATTTTGATAAATGTTATATTTTGTGCATTTATTTATTTAACCAATAATCCCTTTTATTTTGGGAGACACGACATTAAAACTCAAATATTTCCTTAGAGTCTTCATTTATTTGCTTTTTTGTATCAGCCTAAGTCTAACTTCTTAGTTATCTGTACCCCCAGAAAGTTGACACTGCTGACTACCTCCACAGCTCAGATGTCAGTGATTAGTGGTGAATGACTGGACTGTTTTGTCCTGAAGTTGATGATCAAGTTCTTGGTCTTCTTGACATTCAGGATTGTTGCACCGGTCCTCTATAGGACAGATCTATGTTGTCCATAATGAGACCCACCAATGTTGTGTCATTTGCGTTCTTAATCATGCGATTAGAGGAAGATGCAGCGCTGCAGTCATGTGTCAGCAGCGTGAACAGCAGAGGGGCTCAGTAAACAGCCCTGATGGGAGCCAATGTAGAGACAGGTGGAGCTGAAGATGCTGTTAACGTACGGCATACAGTGTACAGGAAAGTGTACAGTGACTCGACTGTACACTGTGTTTGTTTTTTCCTCCAAAACAATAAGTTCCATTGGAGTAGCCTTTCAACACCTCTCTCTGTCTCTCGCTACCAAACAACTCGACCCAGACAACAAAGTAAAGCTAGTTTTCGGCTAAGAGTCCAACACAGAACCCGACGTATTAGCCAGAGGTCCCTTTACTATGGTTCAGAGCCGTGGACCCGTTTCTTATACGCGCGGAATAGTTTTCTATATGAGATCGCTGCTAAAAGTGCAGCCTTACATGATGTCCGCCTACTGTTACTCATTTATAATAATTTTTAAAAATCTAGTTGGTGTTAGTAAGGCGATTAACCTTCAGTAATAGTAATAAATCACACAGCAATAGTACATTCATGTAGTTGTAAAATGCATGATAATATATTAAGTAATCCAAAGTATTCAGAATACTTTACTCTCATTGAGTAACGTAACTGAATACGTTACAAAATACATTTTGAGGCATGTATTCTGTAGTGGAATACATTTTAAAAGTAACTTTCCCAACACTGAACTTAAATCATAACAACAGTTGTAACATCTGAATATTACAAACTGCAAGACTGAATAAACCTGTAAATATTTAGAATGTTATGTAAAATGAAAAATAAATAATTGTTCCTATTTATGTTTTTAATGCAGTTCTTATTGCGTTGGTGGCAGGTAATCCATTCTGTTAAACTAAAGTACAGCAAGCACAACTATTATGGCACAATATGGTCTTTGTGACAGAGAGGCTCATGCTTGACACATGGCAGTCTTGGGGACAGTCACTGAGGGACAGCATACAAGACGAGTGCCAGATCCAGATCTTTCCATCACTCAGCAAGAAGCCTTTGGTTTTTGTTACTGTTACAGGAGGAGGAATTCTGGGGTCCTTTAACAGTGTGATGTGGTTTCCTCATCCTCACTCTCTCTCCTGGTAGAAAAGCAGGCTTCCATTCATGACGCTCAGCATCAGTGTAACGTTGCCTCTTCAGCTGATATTTCTTACAGTAGACAGAAGGCAAAGAGAGTCTGTCTAGTTAAGTATCTTTCTGCCATACATCAGTTCATAGGGAGAGAAGGAAGTGGTTACATGCAGTGTTGTCCCATAAACTTGAAGCCTGCTTCCATGGCTGTGACGGCTGGATTGCTGTCTGGATGCAGGTGCAGAGGTCACGAAGAAACCATTCAATTGCTCCATTTGCAGCTGGGCAGTAGACAGATGTTCTGCTGTGAGAGTTGCCTGTATTATGGAGGAATGAGTCAAATGCTTCAGAGGTAAACTGTGTACTTTTGTCTGTTACATTAATGTTCTCTGGGTTGCTGTGACGACTAAAGACAGACGAGAGGAGCTGAACAACATCATTAGTAGTAGCAGAAGGTGAAAAGGCAAGCTGAGGCCATTTGGAGTAGTAGTCAGTCAATGCACCAGCAGAGAGCTCTTAATCTTTGTTTTGTGTTCACAATCCTTTGGTGACTTTCATGTGCTACTGCAATCAATGTAGGTCTCACTGTACATGGTGCAATGAGCCTCTGAGAACATAATTACTTAGAGTTGAGAGTTCATTATAGATGTTGTAATAAGGTGCAAGTGATTTGATTGAGGCAGACAAAACACTTTGTATTTGTGAGAGCAAAGCAAGCAGTTCAGGTCAAGTTGAACAGGCAGAATGAAAATCAGCAACTGGAAGTGACGACATGGCAGCAGAAATTTGAGCTACCATTTCAAGATCTGCATCCGAAGTGAGATGTGAAGAAACAGGCAGAAGCAGACGAGATAGACAGTCAGCTGCATGACTCAGAGAACCTAGGCGGTAAATAACAGCAGACCAGCGGGTGATATTCATTCTCGCCCTATGAATTCCTTTGGTGCTCAGCAGCATTGTCAGAGCTTGGTGGTCTGTCCTCGTGAAACATCAGCCTCACAAATATGTTCTCCTTTTCTCTGCAGTCCACACACAAGAAAGAGCTTCTTTTTCAACAGTAGAAAACGTTTGTTCTGTTGCAGACAGTTTGGGGGAAGTAAACGCCGCAGGTTTCTCTGTGCCATGTGGTGGAAATTTCTTTATTCTATGTATTGATCACATTTTTTAACCATATCACTTTAGTAACAGTTGTATCATTTTGTCACTTAGGTTAGCTTCACTAACGTGTCTTATGTTCTATCACATGTTCTACACAGACACACACAGCGGCCGCGGCAGTAAGTCAGAGACGTTCAGGTTTGTGGGGGTTAGATGATAGATAGATAGATGGATAGATAGATAGATCATCTGTGGAAGAAGGGAGGCAACAGCTCAGTGAAAAACAGTCGTAAATGTCTCTCCTTGAAGGGAAGGTGAGACGAGGCAACGTGTAAGAGTTGTGGAACATCTTTGTGTCTGTGTGTATATAAGATGTGAGGGCGGCGGCCATCATCAGAGAGGACCCTGGTGTTTGTCTACAGCAGTGGTTCCCAAACTTGTTTTTGGTAGGCCCCCCTTTGTTTTACAAGAAAATTCTGCCTCGTTCGGAGGCATGAGAGTTGTTTGTCAGAGTTGTTTCACTTTATGCACACAGTCAATATCTGGGCAGCAGGGATGCAGGAAGCAGGTGATGTGTTTGTAGAGATCACAGAAGCAGTAGGAGCAGCAGGTAGAACAGTGTTGCCTAAAAGGGTGATGTTCAGCCTAACACAGGAATTATTTTCTTTGTGTATGTAACCAGTTGAAGATCAGGTGGTTGTAGTGGTGTATCACTGAAGTGCTCTGTCCATGGACTTAGTTTGTTGAACTGCAAATTCCGTTTGTGTTGCCAGTGTAGCAGCTTTATCCAGAGTCAATCAGGTCTTTCTCCTAAATAAATAAATCAATCCTATATGTCATTTGTGCATAAGCGAAAAGCATAAAGTACTAAAACAACATAGTTTCTTTGTTAAAAACGGTGATGTTTCTTCGTCCTGTCTGCAGCTGGAAAATAAACTCAAGGATGAGGAAAAGAGGGATGAAGAAACAAAGGAAAAAGTCAAAAAGGTACTTTTATGTTTTTACATTTAATTCTGACATTGATGCTGTTAATTTTTACCAACAAACACAAAACAGTTGTTTCGTTTTATAAATCAGATTTTATAAATGTTATATTTTGTGTGTGAGTGTGTTTAAGTAAAATCTGCTTTTATTTTTGGAGACACTACATTCAAAATCAAATATATCCTTTGGGCCTTCATTTATTTAAATTATTTAGATAATTCAAATAAAACATTTAAATAAATAAATTGTTACTTATTTATATGAACCAACTTATATTTTCATAATTCAGCTCTTATTTAAAGCTTTAATGACTCTGGTTGTGTTTGTATTGTGTCTTAAACATGAACATTTCTTCCTTCTGCTCTTTCTTCATGTAACATTTCACATGAATGCTGAAACCATCAATCAGCTCCTGCAGGAGAAACAAGCAGCAGAGAAACTGAAGAATCAGTTCAAGTCCAAATGCCACGAGGTTTGTTCTTCCACTGTAAACATTTTTAATATGCTGACAAAATCCTCTTTATCTCTGTATTGTAAAGAGTTATGAAGGAAACTTTAGATATAATTTTGTTTATTTGACACCAAATTTCTAATTCATTCAAATTCTCTTATTTCTATATAGAACTTAATTTATTAACTTTTTATGAATGAATGTGTGATTGCATTGTGTAATCACACACATGTGTTTTGCCTTCCATTGTTGCAGTTGCAGAGTAAGGAAGGACAATTATTTTGTTTATTTGTTGTCTGTTAAAGTATTTCTATACATAAACATGTTGCTCACAGTGTGAAACCTCAATAATTTTGTCCCTTTTATCAAACAAAGTGCTGCAGAAACAACAACTGTTTTTCTTTATTTCTGACAGACGATCAAATCTGAGAGGGAGAAGGAGGAAATCATTCAGAAGGTGCTGCAGACATTTCCTACACTGGAATCAAAGCTCAGTGAAAGCATCTCTCAGCACACAGAGGTAAACATGGACACATGTGATGCTGTCATCCTCCCAATGATCACAGACCTGTGCACTTATATTCCTGCAGTTTTGTCCAGCAGCAGTTTCTGTATCATTAACCAAACACAACTTTTAAATCCCACCACTGCAAGATTGTTGACATTATCCCACAACACCTAATGTTGTTAGCATCATGCTACATCAGCTCCCTTATATTTACATCATACAGCTTTAATGTGACTGTTTGTGTTTCATTATTGTGTCTTAAACATGAACATTTTTTCCTTGTGCTCTTTCTTCATGTAACATTTCAGCTGCAGTCAGAGAAGAATACTGAAATCATCAAACAGCAGCTCCAGCAGGTGAAAGGCAGAGTAGAGAAACTGAAGAATCAGTTGGAGAAGAATTCTCACGAGGTTTGTCTTTCAGTTGTAAACATTCAAAATGTGCTGACTCAACTCTCTTCATGAATAGAATAGCACATCAATATTTACTCACCAAATCTGAAGGTCTGAAATATAAAAAAGAATCCAGGATGTATCCAAGTAAGAATATGTGCTGGATCTCAGGGTCTCATTGTCCTAACCCTCGCCACTCAGTTTAAGATCTGCATGTTGAGGCAGTCTACAGCCAAACATCAGTCACAGCAGAAATTTCTCTGCACCGAGATTTTTTGTATGTTGTGGAAAAAATAAATCAAAGTGATTTTCTGAGATTTTTTAAAAGAAAGTTAAAACCTTTGCAAAGGGATCAATACAGCATGAACAGGGTTCTTACAAGCAGTGACAAAGAAGCAAAATAATAACATCTCCTTTGAGACCGCTCTCTTTCCCAACGTGTAACATGCCAGCGTTTTGTCACGTCCTGAGGCAAAAGGTTCTAGAACAAACCTTCAGTGTCCCTATGATACGCTCCTGGTGGTAAGACACGATCCAGCTGTTTATTCCAGGCCTAACTCGAACCACAGCCTTAATCGTGTCAGACAGTGTTTTTCAAAGCGATGAAAAAGTAAAATAAATGTACATGTGTAGATTCATTCCACACGGTTCTCATGTTTCCAAACGTGTAACACACAGACATGTTGGGTGGGTGAAAGCGCAACATACCGACGATTTGTCACAGTGTCGATATGTTACGCTTTGGGATAAGAACATGTTGCTCCTTTATGGCCATCGTGTGGATACAGTCTTTATCTGTTCAGTTGTAGGAAGCAGGATGTAGAACCTTCACTCATTCTTTGTTTAACAAACTTTAGCCACATACAAAAAGCACAATGAGGGTAAAAGAAGATGAAACACTGTAAAACCTGCTTCACAGTAAAGTAGAAAGTTTGATTTTTTTTATTTATTTTTTAAACTGAGGGCATTTTGTGCTGTTAAAATTTGAACTTATTCCTTATTAAATATTGACGTTATCACACACCTGATCAAATAGCATTAAGTCGAAGTGAGATGTAACGTTTCTGTTTATTGTTACGTTTGATGTGATTAACTGTGTGTGAAGAGACAAAGACAGGAGTGAGAATCCTGCACATGTTCATTACATTAAAGATGCAGCTGGATATTTACAGACACTTCAGAAAAAAAACATTTTTCTTTGCTGTCAAACATCAAATCAGAGTAACATTTTTGTTAACATATGTTTTGTATTTGTGAAATGTCCGAATAGAGAAAGATATTTGTTGTGGGTTTTTTATTACTTTCATCAGAGTCAGAAGCATACATGCACATCTTAGTATTTAGTAGAATTACTGTCAAACTGTTTCACTTCAGCCAAACGTTTCAGATTTCCTTCCACAAACTTTCTCAACAGTTTTCTGGAATCTGGGCTCACTGAGAGACAGAACTGGTGTAACTGGGCCGGGTTTGTAGGGCTTCTTGCTGTCACTCACCTTTTCAGTGCTGCCCACAAATCTTCTGTGGGACTGAGATCAGGGCTTTGTGATGGCCACTCCGACACCCTGACTTTGTTGTCTTTAAAACACTTTGTAACTAATTTGGAGGTATGTTTGGGGTCATTGTCCATTCGGAAGACCAGTTTACACCCAAGGTTCAATGTTGTGGCTGATGTCTTCAGATGTTGCTTAAGCGTGTACTGTTTACGTGATCTATTTTGTGAAATGCATCAGTCCCTTCTGCAGCAAAGCAGCTCCACAACATGATGCTGTCGCCCCCACACTTCACAGTTGGGATGTTGTTCTGAGGCTTCAAAGCTTCCTCCTTTTTCCTCAAATATAAAGTTTATCATTACAGTTCAGTTTTTGTTTGGTCAGACCTCAGGACATGTCCCCAAAGATTAAGATTTTTGTCCCCATGTTGCAAACTGTAGTCTGACTTTTTTATGATGGTTTTCAAGTATGGCTTTTTCCTCCAAGAGTGACCTTTCAGCTCGTGGTACAGGACTCACTCAGTGACACTGTTTTTCTAGTGTCAGTCAGCATCTTCACAAGGTCTTTTCCTGATGTCCTGGATTTGTTTTGCACATTTCACACAAAAAAATTCCTCTTTTGGACTCAGAATCTGTCTCCTACACAAGCAGTATGACAGTTGTACGTTCCCATGTATTCATACTTGTGTATTATTGTCTGAACTGATGAACGTGGGACCTTCAGTTATCTGGAAATTGCACCAATAGATGAGCCGCACATGTGGAAGTCCACTGTTGTTTTCCTGAAGTCTTGTTAGATAAAGACACAATAAACTTAGTGCATGAAAGTAATGAAAAAACATGTGTTCTTTGTCTTTATACTGACATTACACAAATACAAAAATATGTTAACATTTATTGATCTAAAACAAAACAAAGTTTGACGGTAAAGAAAAAAGTTTTTTTATGAAGTGTTTGTAAATATCTGGTTTCACCTGTGTACTAAAGTATCCTTGTAAAAGCTGTGGTTCTGTTTAAATCCTTAATTATTCTATAAAATTCACATTGACAGAAATAATAAAGGTTTTTTTCAGGCATCAGAGTCTACAATTTATTGTCAAGGTCATAACCTGGAGCAGAGTAGCACCAACACTCATTTGTTGTATTTAAATAAAGTGCTGATGAAATAAATTGATTTTAGTTTAGTGAGTTTGTGACCGTAATTAAATTAATCATTACAATAACTGCACCAATCAGATTGAGTAAGAGGACACAATAGTTAAAACATGTTGCTCACAGTGTGAAGCTTCAATAATTTTGTCACTTTTATCAAACAAAGTGCTGCAGAAACATCAACAACTGTTTTTCTTTATTTCTGACAGACGATCAAATCTGAGAGGGAGAAGGAGGAAATCATTCAGAAGCTGATGCAGACATTTCTTACACTGGAATCAAAGCTCAGTGAAAGCATCTCTCAGCACACAGAGGTAAACATGGACACATGTGATGCTGTCATCCTCCCAATGATCACAGACCTGTGCACTTATATTCCTGCAGTTTTGTCCAGCAGCAGTTTGTGTGTCATTAACCAAACACAACTTTGAAATCCTACCACTGCAAGATTGTTGACATCATCCCACAACACCTAATGTTGTTAACATCATGCTACATCAGCTCCCTTATATTTACATCATACAGCTTTAATGTGACTCTGGTTGTTTCATTATTGTGTAGAAAAAACACCAGTATTTGAAACAAACAGCAGAGAACCTGAAGGATGAGCTGCAGTCCAGAAGTCATGAGGTTTGTGTTTCCATAAACATTATGAATTTGTTGACTGAATTTGTAGAATCAAAGTGCACACCAGTATTTTTCTACAATATGTGTAGAAAAAAATTCTAGGCTATATTTATTTAAGAACATTGAAAAGTCTCTCTGCATATTATTAGTGAGTTATTATTAGCATATGACAAAGATTCTATGATATGCATATTATCACAGAATCTTTGGATCTTTGAGTTTAAACGTGTTGAGACAGTTTACAACCAGAAAACTGTTTCTGATAGAATGAAGAGTAGACTGATATATGAAATATTCCTTTATTGGGGGAGAAAATCAGACCATGTCATAACTGCTTTAAGTCATACAGAATAGATATCAGAGCCTTAAACACAGTCGTAAATTCCCACAGTGTGCACTATGTGCTTCGAATATTGTGTGTAGGTTTTGTTTCATACAGATCACCACAAAACATGTTGCTCACAGTGTGAAGCTTCAATAATTTTGTCACTTTTATCAACTAAGCACTGCAGAAACATCAACATCTGTCTTTCTTTCTGACAGATGATCAAATCTGAGAGGGAGAAGGATGAAATCGTTACGAAGCAGATGGAAACTTTTCCTACATTGGAAACAAAGGTCAGTGGAAGGATCGCTCAGTACGTAAAAATAACACGATTCTAGTTCATCTAAACCTAAATCTATGTTAACTGGAAGTAGACTATGTTTAGTCAACACTCCATAACTGATTCTTCATAGCTAGATCACCCAGATTAAACTATGTGGTGTTACTATAAATCACCACCTCATGGTCTCAGCATAGAGACTCTGTCATTAAGAAAATGAGACGGGCCACAGCTGTGGTTAGGAAATGCTCCGTCTAAATAAGATGTTATTAATGCACGATCGAATAGATAATAAACGTTTTTGGCTTCCAGTACAAACTAAATTACACTTTGGCTTCTTTTTATTTATAAAGAAAGCAACACTGTTAAACACAACACATGTTTTCTCTGCTCAGCTGCAGTATCGTATGAAATACACAATCATGCTACACGGTGTGTAACAAACTGCAATTTAGTAATTCCTTGATCCAAAAGCAATTTTTAAAAAAAAATCATTATATTGAGAGCATATTTTAAGAGGAATAAACTGCCTTATAACTGCCTTAGAGAACTAGCTACTATTCCTAATTTAAAAAAAATAAAAATGTATTTACACAGTTTTTGATTATTGTAAATATTGTAAGAGGGTTTTTGATTTTTATGCATTGTGCACGAAGACCAGCAATCACTGTTGTGGAAGCTAATGGGGTTCCTTATATTTAAGTAATAAATAAAATAAAATAAAAAAAATGTTGTTAACATCATGCTACATTTCACCTGCAGTGGAAGAAGAACACTGATATCATCGAACAGCTCGTGCAGGTGAAACAAAAAGCAGAAGACCTGAAGAAGCAGCTGCAGCTCCAAACTCATGAGGTTTGTTTTTCCATTTCTCTATAACTGAATAGAATAAAAGTGCACATCAGTACTTACTCACCAGCAGACTTTACAGTATAAACGAAAAATAAACAAATCTAAATCTAAGGGTCTAAATATATCATCCATACATGATATTGAGGCAGTCTACAACCAAACCTCAGTCAGTGTCATGGTAAATTTTCTGTGGGAGGCAGAGTTGTGGACTCTCAGGCAAAACTGTGCTGGAAATAGTTTTATTGCTAAATTCTCAGAAAACAGTGACGTGAACATGAACTGGGAACTAACTCTTTGAAATACTACTACAGAAACTTTCTAAACAGACAAGACACACAGCTAGACAGAGCTCACAACACCAAATAGATGAGACACATACATCATATACACAAGAGGACATCAGGGCAGAGAGGAGGCACTCGAGGAACACAGCTGGACATGATGCACACAGGACAGGAGACTGAAATAAAATGGGAAACATGAGAAACACACACTGAGACACACTGAGTGCAAATGAGACGGAGAGACGTGACTGGGGACCAGAAAGGCAAATAAGCATGGAGACAAGACTGAGACACAAATAACAAACAGAACTAGACACGAGAGGACGGGGAACACAGAGGGAGGGCTTATTCTAACCTAAACACCTTATAGCATAATATAAATGAAACCAACATAGAATATTCAAACATTATAAAGTCCAGAGACCTGGAACCACTGTGTCACTGACTCAGGACCATGACAGTCAAAGCAGAAACTTCACTTCTGGTGTTTGTGATCATGCAGAGGATCAGCTGTGTTTCAGCTTCTCATTAAACTAAAGCTGCTGCTTCACTTTACATACATGATTTGTTGGCTTTGTGTGATGGTGCTGCTGTCATAGGCTGATGGAGAGGAGCAGACTCACTGCTGTGTAAAAGGATCGTTCCTGATCCGTTTGTCATTCACATGTTAGAAGCAACAAGTTTCAGTTTTCCAGTTTAGATTTCAATCTGGAAAGTCTCCTGTTGATCTCAGTAGAGAACATTTCTTCCTTCTGCTCTTTCTTCATGTAACATTTCACCTGCAGTGGACGGAGAAAACTGAAACCATCCATCAGCTCCAGCAGTTGGAACAAGTAGCAGAGATCCTGAAGATTCAGCTGGAGTCCAAAAATCAGCAGGTTTGTCTTTTCATCATAAATATTCTGAATTTGCTGACTCAGCTCTTTATGAATAAAATAATGTTTATGTTTGTTTTAATGTTTTTCCATATCAGTATTTACTCACCAACAGACTATTTAAATAAATAAAACTAAATGTAAAGGTCTAAAATATATTTTAAATATGGATTTGGAAGCTACACATGCTGCTGTTGATCTCAGTAAATAAACAGTCACCTTCCTCCCTGTAAAGTGATTTTTAGATGTTGATGAAAGAGGATGAAACACTGTACAATCAACTCTTCAGTAAAGTAGAAAATGTTTTCTAACTTTGATATGTAGAATCTACCACAGCTGAATATTTGGTCTAATGTAGATTTTTCCGATAATTTTGTCACTTTTATAAACAAAGCGCTGCAGAAACATCAACATCTGTCTGTCTTTATTTCTGACAGATGATCAAATCTGAGAGGGAGAAGGATGAAATCATTCAGAAGTTGATGAAAATATTTCCTGCACTGGACTCAAAGGTCAGTGAAAGCATCTCTCAGCACACAGAGGTAAACATGGACATATGTGAAGCTGTCATCCTCCCAATGATCACAGACCTGTGCACTTATACTCCTGCAGTTTTGTCCAGCAGCAGCTTCTGTGTCATTAACCAAACACAACTTTGAAATCCTACCACTGCAAGATTGTTGACATCGTCCCACAACACTTAATGTTGTTAACATCATGCTACATCAACTCCCTTATACATAATGCAGCTTTAATGTGACTCTGGTTGTTTCATTGTTGTGTCTTAAACATGAACATTTCTTCCTTCTGCTCTTTCTTCATGTAACATTTCTCCTGCAGTGGAAGGAGAATACTAAAATCATCAATCAGCTCCAGGAGGTGAAAGAAACAGCAGAGAAACTGGAGCAGCTGGAGAAGCAAAATCAGCAGGTTTGTGTTTCCATTATAAACATTTTGAATTTACTGAGCCAACTCTGTTTGTGAATAGAATAATTGCACACATCAATATTTACTCACCATCAGACTGTACAGTATAAATGAATCAATAAATCTAAATCTTAGCATCTCAATTATAAAAAAAATAAAAAAATCCCAGATATATACATGTAAGAATATAAGAATGTAAGAAACAACAGTGTGCATGCATAATCCCAAAAGGTTGATTCCGTTCATCTGGATGTAGCGTTTTCAGTGGGAGAAACGTTTTGTCACTCATCCAAGTAACTTCTTCAGTTTCAGCTGACTGCAGGTTTCCAAACCTTGTGAACAGTAGATTTACATAATTACTTAAAAAAATCAGCAGAACTGATGAACAATGGGCTGTGTGTGCATATTATTAGTAATGGAAGTAAAAGTAAGTTTTAGTTTTAGAGACTCTACATTGAAACTTAAGATATTTCCTTAGTGTTATTTACAAATATTAATTTATATTATCCAGCTTATATTTACATAATACAGATTTTATTTCCAGCTTTAATTGAACTCTTATTGTGTTATTAATATTGTGTCTTAAACATGATCGTTTCTTTCTTCTGCTCTTTCTTCATGTAACATTTCAGCTCCAGGGTAAGACAGACCGTGAAATCATCAAACAGCTCCAGCAGGACAAACAAACAGCAGAGAAGCTGAAGAATCAGATGGAGTCCAAAAATTGGGAGGTTTGTCTTTCCATTATTAACAATCAGAATTTGCTGACTCAGCTCTCTTTGGTAATACAGAACAGAATAGCCACATTATTGTAATTTAGAACATATACATATAATAATTTCACTCATCTTTTATTTGGTTTTTATTTATATCTCATGTAATTTTATTTTACAGTTCCAATGTACAGCACTTTGTGTCAGTTGTGGTTGTTTTAAAGTGCTTTATAAATAAAATTTATGATGATGATGATGATGATGATGATATACAGTTGGTGTCAGTATTTACATCAAATTATTATTATTATTAATATTAAACTGAAATTTATAGAGTCCAGTTAGAGCAAACATCTTGATGCAAAGATCCAGATGATCATAATGTCTCATTATTTAGTGTAAACACACAGTCATAGATAAAAGGAAACCTCTGTTCAGTTTTTGGATTTTGGTTTATTGTTGGCTGATCTGTCATTATGGAAACTGTATCGTTTCAACAGTGACAGTTTATTAATTTACAGATAATATGTATCATAAAAAAATCACAACAATTACAACAACAAAATTTCAACAATTATAACAAAGTTAGACGGTGCTTAAATTTAGGAGCCCCAACAGAGATATTGCATCAACACTTAATTGAGCTTTATTTGCAAATATAACTCAAGACACCTCGGATAGTCTTTGATGAGTGTCTGGATCTTAGATGAAGCCATGTTTGATCCTTCTTCCATACAAAAAAGCAAAAAAAGCATCAACAGCCTGCTTCAAATTATCCCACAAATTTTCAATGACATCCAATTCAGGGGAATGTGGTGTTATTCTTCCACAGCACAGTTTCAATCTGTCTCATCTAAATGAGCTTTTATACAACAAGCGGTTCTGTTTGTAGTGTGAGTGCAGAAAGGCCTTTTTTCAATACCCTCCCATACATATGTACAAATACAACACCAAGATGCTCTGCAGGGTTTTGGAGGTGATTCATCCTGACAGTCCGCTGCATTTGCAGCTCCTGTAATTTTCTTGGCCTGACCTGAGTTCAACCACAGCTGTGCCTGTGCTCTTCTATTTCCTGATTACTGTCCTTTTAGTTGAAACTGAGTTCAAACCTCTGAGAGATCTTTTTGCAGCCTTCCCCTGAACCACAGTACTGACAATCTTTGTTTTCAGATCTTTTGAGAATTACTTTGAGAATCCAGTTCTGTCAGTGTTCAGTGTCAAAGAGAAGCACAACTTGAAAGTCTCCACCTTAAATACATTTTCTTATGATTGGACATGCTTGCCTATGAAGTTCAAGGATTAACAAGCT